TGGATACTTCTGAAAAGCCCAAATTAGGGTCAGATCTTACAGGTTCAAGAGTTTGGGTTCTCTGACATAAGCACTGGGGTGCTAATGAAGATTTTAATGTGGAAATGACTTCAATGTAAATGACAAGGAGAAGGACAATGGAATGTAGAAACATCATTCAATGACAGTGAGTTTTAGATATGCCTGTGCTTATTAATCATGGGCTGTTGGACTGGGTCCAGCAACCAGACAATTATTCTTTCTTATTAGCCATCTTAATAAAAAGATAAATGAGTTTATTTTCATAATAATTTCAGAATATGAAATTAATGATGTTAAAATCTTATAGTATGCTTGATTTTACACACACACATTTGGTTCCCCTTTATCTCCTGTTCTTCCTTTGTGAGTTATTTCCATTAACTCAAATACAAGAAGAAAAAAGTTACCATATAAAGGCCTAAATGATGTTTCTAAAGTTTGTAGGATATTTGGCATCTAATCACTAGATGCCAGTAGCACCTCTCCCCCATTTGTGACAACCAAAAATGTCTCCAGACATTCCCAAAATGTCTTTTGTAAGAAAAGAAAAAAAAAATTCAATGCCCCGCCCCCATTGACAACCACTGAGTTAAATAAAATATAGTATTTTTCACAATAGACAAAAATACTTTATCTTCCCATGCATCTTAACACTGAAAATTTGAAGAGAGTAAAATAATTTTTTACCTCCCAATCATACTGAAAATTTTAGACTAATTACTAGAATTATCTTGATATTGTTTATTTTATAGTATATCAATTTCATTTCAGTTTAAGTGATGAAGAATTACATTTATTCAACATTCTACAACTTCTGGAAAATGAATGAGTGGAGCCATAGTTTAAAAAGTACAAGGTTTTTATCTTATAAAAAATTACATGTTCAGCTATTAAAGGCTTGAATTCTTTTAGTGTGTCCCAGCTAGATACATTTCTCAAAACTCAATAAAAATGTACAAAGTAAAATTATATTTGAAATGGTTTCACAGTTTCATAGTTTTAGGTGTTATGGGTTTATGAATACCTGTACTGTATGTGATGATGAAACGATAATGAGGGTGAAAATTTAAAAACAACATTGGTTCTTCCTACCTCTTCTTTTATTGAAAGTAAATGGAGCATGCATATCCCCACATGCTTTTACAGCTCTGATGATCTTTAAAAGGCATCTAACATGAATGAAAGAACAACCCACATGTTTTCACATGATCTCATATTTAATTTACCCTCCAGAGCAGTAGATTAATAATTATGTGCCAAGAAACTGCTTTTCAATACCATTGTGGAGTATGAAAAAAACATGGAAAAATCAATTTCTTTTTCCTATCTCAGGAGACTGGGTGTGTTTCCTATTTATTGCTCATAGCAACAGTAATCTCAGCCTTTTATTTATGTTCTCTAAACTTGAAACATTGGAAGTCAATAGCAACATATTCAGAATGATTGAAACTGCTTTATTTGTCATCATTACCACTGCTACTAATAAGTAGCAGTATTAGGCTCCAATATGTGGAATTGCTAAAGTGAGTATTGTATGAAGCAAGTTTGATATGAATTCTCTGGATGTTTAATACTTAAAATTGTGCATGAAAATAAAGACTAAATAGATACAAGATTTCGAAAAGTATAAGAAAGTAAGGACAGTATGTTAACAGGCAAGAACAACAGTATCTAGTTCTGTGTTCCACCTGTTTTATTGAGCTATCAAGCTCTTTATTAAATCATTTTTAGCATGTTCTATGTGATCCATACCTTGTAAGAGTCTTCGTATTTTAAGTCGATGTCTTTATAGTTTCTATTCCTTTTCTATTCACCTGACAGGACCTATAAAAGTTGATATTTTTAATCTTTTCATTTTGGGCTGCTGTTTTTATTGCAATTGTCAAATACTTTTCTAAGCAAATACTGGAATATAGAAAAATTAAAACTGTAATTATAGACTTTTTAGAATAGAAGGATGATCACTCTACATCTATACTTCTTACGTCATGTGCCAGGAAAATAACTCCAAGGAAAATTAATAGCCACAGATATTTTCATTATTAACTGAGAAAGATTAAAAAGAAATAAGCCTATTAACCAGCTCAAAAGTTATAAAAAGAACAAGAGAGCCAGTATAAGGACAACATGGGTAAGGACTTAATGAATGTAAACAAGATTGATAAATCACAAAGCAGAAAGAAAAGAACTGAAAATTAAATTCAAGATCTTGTTCTTTGATTAAACAACAACAAAACTGGATAAACTTGTGGCAAGATCATGGAAAAATGAGAAAAAATATATACACACCAGAAAAATAAAAGGGATATAAGTAATGAATGTAGATATTTTATGGAAAATGTTATGTAAAGTTCTTGAAAATGCTGGAAAATCTTAATGAAATGAATGATTTTCTTGGAAATTGTCACTGGCCAAAATAGACTCAGAAAGAAATATGAGACCTACAATAAATGGCAATACAGGAAATGAAACTTTTGAAAGAACTCTTCTTCCAAAATAGGTATGGTCCACATTCCTCAACTCTGAATTTTGTATTTTTTCTTCATTTTAAGTATTTGTAAACATAGACAATGTTAGAAATCTTTCTATAACATTTTCAAGATGGTAATATAAGAGCAGGGAAAAATAAACTTCAAGAATCAGCACTTAAAAAGGAACCTACATGATATTCTTCCATGAAAATAGGTTTAAAAATCCAAGGAAAAAATCAGCAATTAAGTCTAGAAGCATGTTAAAAATCACTAAAATGAGTATATCTAAGGTAACAAGGTAAATAAATTTATTAATATAATACACCAAATGGTAAAAACTCTAGGATCATATTAAGAGATGCTGAAAAGACAGTTAATAAAATTAAACATCAATTATTGATAAAAGAAAATTTTAGTAAACTAGAGAAATAAAAGAGGACTTTTATCTTATGACACATCAAATGTAATGTGATTCACCAGATCGTATGGAAAAGCAGCAATCCCATTCAAGTGAGGAAGATGGCAAGCTCCCTGTTATTCCCATTACATTACCCTGTTCTGTTTGTGCTGCTACAGTAAGACAAAAACAGCGACATCACACAAGAAGATCCAAGGCTAAGGAAGGCGTGTTTCAACTATTAAGATATATTAACATTGGTCATCCGTGCTAGTGGCATTATGGGTGTTTTGTACTTTTCTGTTTGGCATTTCTATATTTTCTGTACAGAACTTGTGTTGCTCTTTCTGTTTTTAAAATGAGACAACATTGAGACAAATCATAACTCAAAAGGGAAGAGATTTCCTTCTCCTTTCAAATGAATGGCTCAGACTACAATTTAGCATTTTACTGTCTTCAATCCTAGTCACATAGATGATTAAGTAAAAGCAAAAGAGAGTCATTTGATTCTTTTATGAAGTTGAAGGCTAAAGGAAAGCTGAATCAGATATGCCCCTAAGGTGGCTTTGTTCCTTGATGCCAGTTATCAGCTTGTTACAGTCTCTATCTATTGCTTTACCTTCCCATTATGACTTTATCTTGCCTAATATTTACCAAGATAACTTCATCTAGTCTGACCTTTTTTGTAGGGGTTAGTTATGGGAGCTCCTCCTTTGAGGAAATTTCCATTTTACCGAATAGTGAATTTCTAGAATGACTGGGCTAACTTTTGGCTGCCTCTCCCTCTAGTACAACTTCTCCTGCGTCTCTGCCCTTGCAACCAAGGCGAAAGAGGGGTGAAAAGGCTTCCTCAGGTGGAGTTAGCGAACACAATGGCTCATTCATGATAAAATACCCCCTAACTAGGAGGGGAGATGATATGACTCTCAAAGTGTTGCCGACCGGTCGACTGGTCGTTGTTGACATTTTTCTCATTGTTGTTTTAAAAATGCAAATTCTCTAACGTCAGGGTCATCCAACCTAATTTTTCCATCATGGTTTTCAAGCAACAAGGTAGAATTTGGGACCAAATCTATGAAGAGGCAGCATGGTGGAGAGGAAAGCCCTGACACTAACCCATCGTGGGGCTTCTGTTGGCCTCTGTAGAGTGCCCACTAGGGAAGGATTCTTGTCCACTCTTTCTCTTACTCAGAGCACCTCTGAGGTTTTGCTACAATTTCAGTTACCAGTGATGACCCAAGATGCGGTGTGGTTCAGTGTGGTGGAGAGAGGGTTCAAATGATGCCTACTCCACTCCTCCCATTGCCACCAATGCCTTGAACACCAGAGCCTTGATTTCCTCATTGTAAGAAAACAACAGCACCGGTGAGGTGCTCATTGGAGGATTAGGGAAAGAGCCTAGCAGACCTAGTTCATGGTAGGTAACTCTTAATTACTGCTCTGTAGCTTCACTGACCAGTGTACTCATGAGCCACACGTGGCTACTTAAATTAATCAAAAATTATTTCACAGCAGCACCAGCCCCATTTCAAGTGCTCAACAGCCATCCATGTCTACTGGCTACCATATTGTACAATGCAGCCAGAGAATATTCCTGTCACCACAGAATGCTCCACTGGACAGCGCTGCTCTCTGTCAGGTAAGGCCATATTTGCAAGGCCTTTGTTCACCAGAGATAGAAAGGAGTGATATCAGCTTCCCAAACTAAGATAGCTTATCCGTCAACCAGATACTTTAGGCCTGAAAAGATGGAAAGTTTGTGCCAAGGGAAACCTCCAAAGACTCAATTCTTTCCACCCTGCACTTAACCAGACAACAAAGGGGCTGGGGAGGATTCTGAGTTTGAGTCAGCAAGGGAAACATTCTTTCAAGGTAGAGTTTGCAAAAGACAACTAAAACCTAAACAGGTTTTCGTAAATAACTGACAGGAGATGGACTGCTTCTATCAAAGTATTAATCCAAGTGATGGGGGTTAATCATTAAACCCTCTAGCTGGTGGCTTGTTTGTTTCTCTGATATTCTAATCCAGGTCACAGAATGGCTAAGGCAGCTTTAAGTGGAGGGTGGATTATTTTTCCCTTGGTTTGTCTTGTGTTTTCCTCTCTGAAAGAATGTTGTGGCTGCTCTTTTTTCTGGTGACTGCTATTCATGCTGAGCTCTGTCAACCAGGTATGTAGCCTTGAAACTTAAAAATAGATTAATCGTTTTTCAGTGTTTGATAAGTCTTTGACTGGAAGACCTTTATTTTTCAAAATCTATAAACGTGGTGTGGCTTGAAAGTTGAGCTGTGATTTGTTTTATGAAGGAACAATTTAAACCATTTAAGGTGATTACCATTAAACTTTAAGGAATTTGGGGGGCAGGTTAATTGCAGTTCCGTTTTCTGTTGATTTGATTTGCATGAAATATTAGGATTTATTAGGCTCAGTTTGTGCAGATTTTATCTTATGCTTCTCTTTTTTCTTTCTGGCAGATGCAGAAAATGCTTTTAAAGTGAGACTTAGTATCAGAACAGCTCTGGGAGATAAAGCAGTAAGTGGAGAACCTGCATGTTCATTTTAAATTTTGTTTGCGGAGAACATTGTGCTTTTTCTGATAATGAGCCTCTCTGCACAGTTATCTTAAAGTGGTATATATTGCTTCTAAAAACCTCAAATCTGATCCCTTCTTAAAGTCAAAATATTATAGTAAAATAGAAATTGTTAATAAAATGATTTTGCCTGAGATACTTTACAGTTTATGCTAGAAAATATGTGAAGTTTTGTATTACACAAAACAATTTTGCACCCTTTACATTTCAGCCCAGCATAGTGGTACAAAGGGGCCTGAGTCAGGCAGTTAGGTCTGGGTTGGGCTCTGTGCTTCACTATTGTGGTCATTTGAATTTTGTTAGCCTCAGTTTTGTAGTCATTGAAAAGAGGTCATATTACACCCACATAAGATCTTTCATGGCACATAATTTTCAAATTCTAACATGAAGTTTCTTTAATTCTTAAATATCAAAATAACATGAAATATATACTTATAAAATTGAAATTAAATGAATACCCATGGAGCTCATGTGGTTATAGGACTAGTAAAGAGTGTCAAATTAAAAGATAGTATTTTGTAATTCTAGTTCCAGTTTTCCAGCATGGTCTGTGAAAATTTCCCCCAATAGAAGGTGATATTAAGATGCCTTAGGCTAGAAAGAGTAAAGGAGCTCTAAAGAAACTTAGAGGTATTCTTTTGGGAGGCAACGTTTGATTTTATTCACTCAATGAGTAATAATTGTTACAGCAGCCAACATTTATTGAGAACCTAGTTTACTTTCTAGCTGGGCCCCTTCTAAGCACTTTGCTCACATCAGCTGTTTTAGCCCTCACAACAATCCTTTGAGGAAGGTAGCACAGGTATTCCTCTTCTCATCAGATAGATGAGAAGTGCAAAGAAATTAAGTGACCTGCTCAAGATCTCAAGTCAGCAAGTGGCAGAGGTAAAACTTGAACCCAGACAGTCTGGCTGCAGAATCCACTCTCTCTGCCAGTGTGTAGGGTTGGTTGGTTATCCCAGGATCCTTTGAGCACAGGCACCATACTGGATTCTGGGGATGCAGAGCAGCTAAAATCGGGCTTTTCCCTGCCCTTGTGGAGCTTATCGTAGTGGGAGAACTAGTTGTCCATTAAATAGTCAGTGAACCAAATGCAAATGTGCAGTCTGGACAAGTATTATAGGAAGGAGAAGTACAGGGGTCTTTGGCCTTGTCAGGGGCCTCAGTACCTGGCATTTGCTGTGAGGTCTGAAGCATGACTATAAGTGAACTAAGGGATAACAGAAAAAGGGCAGATGGAACAGCATGTACAAAGGCTTATTACACAAAGGAACTTGGTGAGAGTGAGAGGCAGAAGGAAGACTGAGGTGTCTGGAACTGAGCAGTGAGGAGAAGCGTGACACGTGATGAGCTTAGAGAGAAAGGAGGGATCAGGCCAAGGAATATGTGAACCGTGTTAGGGAGTTTTGATACTATCTTTAAAGCAAATGGGGGTTTTATGGAAGAGATGTCATGACAGAATTGGTGTTTGAATGTTTAACCACAGTGTGGAAGACAGATTGGAGGGGACTACAGTAGAAAGGTGGCACCAGTTAGGAGGTGATTGGAATAGCATAGGTGAAAGGTGATGTTTGCCTAAAATACAGTGTGTTGCCCTGGCCGGTTTTGCTCAGTGGTTAGAGCATCGGCCTGCAGACTGAAGGGTCCTGGGTTCAGTTGCAGCCAAGGGCACGTATCTTGGTTGCAGGCTCAATTCCCAGCCCTGGTCGGGGCTTGTGTGCGAGGTTACCAATCGATGTGTCTCTCTCACGTCGAAGTTTCTCTCTCTCTCCCTCTCCCTCCCTCCCTTTCTCTTTCCCCTTTCTCCCTCCCTCCCTTTCTCTCTCTCTCCCTTTCTCTCTCCCTTTCTCCCTCTCTCCTCCCTCTCCTCCCTCTCTCTCTTTCTCTCTCTCTCTCTCCCCCCCTCTCCCCTTTTCTCTCTCTCTCTCCCCTCCTTCCACTTTCCCTGAAAAGCAGTGGAAAAAATGTCCTCAGGTGAAGATTAAAAACAAACAAACAAACAAAAAAGAAATACAGCGTGTTGGCAGAGAGAGTAGTGAAGGGATTTGAGAGTCACGGGGGTGGTATGACAAGGAAGGGAGAAGGAGTCAAGCATGAAGTTTTTGTTTCTAATTATGCAGGTGGATGAGTTATCTGGATGAGTGATGTCCTGTTTATGAGTCAGGCAACCAGGTAAAGACAAGAACAGGCTTTAATTTTGGACCTGTTGCATTTGCGCTATTGACAAATAGGCAAGGACAGAGCTGGCTTGAGATATACATTCCTGAGTCATTTGCTCTAAGGTGATAATGGAAAGCTGGAGTAAATGACAGTGTAGAGGGGAAAAGTACAGAGTGCCAAGAGAAGAGAGAGCTTTGAGTTTCTCTAAAACTTGAAGCCCTTGTAGAAGACGGTGACACTGCAAAGGGGGCAGGGGGCAGCAGGAAAACCAGGAAACTTGTATTCCAATAGGGAAGAGACTGCTTCAAGATGAAGGGAGTTTTCAAGAGCGGCAAATGCTGTTGAGAGGCCAAACAAGGTGAGACCAAGCAATGTGGAGGTCACCGGTAACTTCAGAGAGAGCTGTATTTTTAGAGTGGTGGAACTGGAGGGCAGATAATGAAGGGGGTTAAGAAGAAGTGGGTGGTGAACATATAATGACAGAAGTATGGACAACGCCTTCGAGAATTTTGACTGTGAAGGACCAGAGAGAGACAGAAGTAGGTGGAAGAAGGAAGATGGAGTAAAGTGATATGATTTTGCTATTGTTTTCATGGGAAAGACTTGAGTGTGGTTAAAAGTCAGTGGACAGGCTCAAGTCAGCATTGAACAACAGGAGGGGAGAAACTGGTATTGTTTAGATCCTTAGAAGGGTAGAAGGGAAATATTCCTAATAGAGGTGGGTGGAACAGCCATTGACAGTAGAAATACCACATCTGGCCTTTCAGGAAGGGATGTGGATAGGATGTGTGTCTATGGAGGAAGTTTTGTGGTTGGTGACAGGAGGATGGGGGAGTTTAAATTGATGACTTGAGATGTATCTATAAATTATGAAACAAGAGCAAGAGATCTTGAAAGCACTGAGATTTGTGAGGCCTGAAGAGGGCTTGGAATAGTCATTGTGAACCATGAGAGAGAGAAAACTGATGGAGAAAATTGATGGAGAAACCCAAGGCAATTTGGGAGTAGGTCACCATGAATTTAGAGTAACCAACACACCCTGTTTTGTGACTTTCTCCAGTAATACTTGATTACTCACCTATAGTGTGAGGTCAGCCAAATTAGTTTACTAGTGCTGCTGTAACAAAGGACCACAGACTGGGTCACTTAAATAATAGCAGTTTCTCACTTCTGGAAGCTAGAAATCCAAGACAGGGTGTCATCAGGGTTGGTTCCTTCTGAGTTCCATCAAAGAAGGATTTGTTCCAGGCCTCTCTCCTTGACTTATAGATGGTTGTCTTCTCCTTGTATCTTCACATGTCTTCCTTCAGTGTGTGTCTGTATCCAAATTTCCTCTTCTTGTAAGTACACTAGTCGTATTGAATTAGGGCCCACCTTATTGATCTCATTTTAACCTAATCGCCTTCATAAAGACACTGTCTCCAAATATGATTACATTCTGAGGTACAGTGGTACCTTGGTTTTCAAACTTCTCTGTTAACGAACATTTCATTTTATGAACGCCGTAAACCAAGAAGGAAATGCTTCATTTTTTGAACATGCCCCGAAAGTTGAACATGCCACACTGCTTTCACTGAGGGCAACATCCTGAGGCCTAGCTGTAGGCTGTTGATTCCTTGGTTTTCGAATGTTTCAGAACTTGAACAGTCTTCTGGAATGGATTCCATTAGGAAACCGAGGTACCACTGTACTGGGATAGGACTTAAAAAATTAATTTTTTTTTTGTGGGAGCCCAATTCAGCCCATAACATGCACATACACTCAAGTTTCCAGCTAAGAAAATAAAAATAAAATTTGTACTGATGTTAATAAAGGAAAGGAAGCTGAGGAGGAATCAGGTTCCGAGGGGAGGGAGGAAAGGAACTGAATGCATTCATCCAGGATGAAATGTCCAAATGTCCTATTTATTGACCAGCTACTAACACTGCAGATTCTGAAGAAGATAATGCAATGGGAAACATACCACACTTGGAATGATAGACTGTCCATGAAACTCTATCTTGAACATTATGGTGACATGATCTATCATAATTTCCAATCTTCAGGGTGATAGAGGAGAGAGAGAGAGACCCCACTGTGGCCACAATGAGAACCCAATGCAGCATTTTTTACCCCATGCCTCTTCACTTTTCAATTTCTGTTTTACTTCTCTTCAGTATGCCTGGGATACAAATGAAGAATATCTCTTCAAAGCAATGGTCGCTTTCTCCATGAGAAAAGTTCCCAACAGAGAAACAACAGAGTAAGTAAACAGTGAAAAATCTTAATTGATAACTCACAGTATTATTTGAGATAGTGCAATAGTTCAAAGCTTGATCTCAAAAATAATTTATTAATATCATTTAAAGGGATCCACATTTTTGCTTAACATTTAAAAAAACTTGTAATCTAGCTCAGCTTACAGTTTATGACATGTTTTAATAATGCTTTTCATTCAATGGGCACTATGAAGACAAATATTAAAACATCATAGTCATATGTCATAAGCTTTCTAGATTTCTATTGTATACATATTTCTCTTGCTGATGAATAGATAGATAGGATAGATAAGAACTCTCACTGTATTAGTCAGGTCGGGCTGCTGTAACAAAATACCACAGACTGGGTGGCTTTAACAACAGAAGTTTATCACTCACAGTTCTGAAGGCTGGAAAGTCCAAATTCAAGGTGCTACCAAGGTAGGTTTCATTCTGAGGGCTCTTTTTTTGCCTTACAGGTGCCACCATATCATTGTGTGCTCATGTGACCTCTTTATCATTAAGGGGGAAGTGGAAGGGGAAAGAGTGAGCTCTCTGATATCTCTTCTTATGAGGACACTAATCCTATATTAGCAGGACTCCACCTTATCACCTAATTTAGCCATAATTACCTCCTATAGGCCCTGTCTCCAAATACAGTCACATTTGGGGTTAGTGCTTCAAGATATGAATTTGGAGGGAGGGGACCAAATAAGTCCATAGTGCTCATTTTGAAAATAACTTAAATATGTATAGGTTTGTTCCACTGTTGGTATCTATCATAGCACCTTGTTTATTTTCTTAAAAGCTTTAGTAGAATTTTAATAGTTTTACATTTTTATCTGTTCTTCCAGAGGAATTTTCTCTAGTTATGATATTTCCTACCATCTCTGTGATTAAGGTAACACTCCTGGTTTCTCTCTATTCTGTCCCTCATTCTTCCCCTTGAGAAATAAAATGACTGATCTGATTGGTGAGCTGGAAGGAGAAATTGGGCATGGGTTCCCTTCTCTTTCAGAGCCTTCCTGCCCTCAGACTGCAGTCATTTTTCTGTGCTGCTCCCTACACCAAGTACAGAATCTGCCCTGCATGGGCAGGTACATACACCTGGAACTCTGTGTGTGCTGGTTACAGTTGAGGACTGTTTAGATTGGGAGGTGTTCAGTATCTTGCATACTACCCCAGTGTGTGGCGATACCTGCCTCAGTTCAGTTCTACATGGGACACTGTAGAGGAATTGATCTCATTTCAGGATTTTTTTTAATTAGGAAGGAAATCTATCTGCTGATTAAAGTCATGTCCTCCAACCAGCCTTTTATTTTGGTCTCCTACCTGCTTCATTCTTTTGTCTTAAATTTTTAATGCTTTAGAAGCTGGCAAAGAGGATTGCTATTTATTGGTCTCCCTCAAACCCACACAATATATGATGCATGGGCTATGAACATAAGACTGTGAATATAAGGAATAAAGCAGAAGAGTGGACTTTGGGGGAGCAAAATAAATATATGATCTATATACTTGTGTGTATATACACACATATATATGCACATATATTTAAAAATAGGTAATATATTCACATGATTCAAAAAATTAAAAGAACGAGGTCTATAGTAAAACAAAATTATACCCTAAGTGAATTCTACTCCTATTTTATAGATTTTTAGAAAAAATATATTTGTTTTTATCTTATGCCTTTAAATTTTAGCATTCTTTCCACAACTATTTATAATAACTTTTTTCAATAAAAATTAGGTAATAGCGTTACAAAAAATTCAAAAGAAAAAAAGCTACTGGTCTTCTCACATGGTAACCCCTGAGCTTATCTCTTTATCTTCTAGTCCTTTTCGGTAGGCTTTAGATGTTGCTGTGCTCATTTTACTATTATTTCCTTGAAGGGCCTACATTTCACCTTGTAAATGACTATGTTAGATGAGATGTTTCCATTTCTTAGGAAAAGTTCATATAAACATTTCAGATTAATTTTGAGGAATTCGCCTTTGAAAAAACTTTTTTTTCAGAACCTGGGGCATTATAAGAGTATGGGAATATCTGACCTGGTTTAATTGAACATTTTCCTTGGAATTGGGTGTACAACATATATAAAGGGGTTTGTTGTCAAAATCAGTTGAAAAAAAATTAAAAAATGCAAAACTAGATCAGAGGTTAACCAACTTTTTTCTGCAAAGGTTCAGGCAGTATGAGTCCCAGCAGTACTGCTGTTGGGGCTGAATGAGGAGTCTGCCTAGTGAATCGGGATGTGTTTAAAATGCAGTTCACAGTGCTGGGTAGATTTCTACACGCGCTGGTACAAAGGAGGCTTCATCTTTACACAACAGGCTTCCTCTATGTGCTAGGGCCCCACGGAATGCTGGATGGGGTTGAAGACAGCTTTGCAGACAGGCAGCCATACCCAGTGCAGAGGGCGGTGGAAGCACCCTTGGCAACTGGGTCAGGTTTGAAATCTTTCAGAAATCTTTTGGTGCCAATGTGGGGGCAGAATAAATGCTGGAGGGTAGCTGCTATGGGATGAATTGTGTCCCCTCAAAATTCGTAAATTGAAATCCTAGCCCCCAGTATCTCGGATTGTGATTGTATTTAGAAATATGGCCAGAGTGCCACACACATGTCAGGAGAAGATGCACTGCAGAGGTGCCCGGACAGATGGGTCCCCAAAGGCCCCACAAGCACACTCTGAATGGAGAACATGAGGGCAACACCCACCAAGACAGAGGACAGTAACAGCGAGAAAGCCACAGAGAGCCTTGGCTAAGGAAAAAGAACTCTGCCTTTACTTTCTCTGACTCCCACCTCTCCCATTTCCCTTTTCCGTCCCTAAGTGAGCAACAATGGGGTGGGGATGAGGGGCCATATACAGGAGGACATGGAGCATTGAGAGTAAAAGAATGGAGCAGACCCTCAGGGCAGCACCACTGGAAGGAGAAGCTGGGTGTCAGAGGCAGGAAGACAGTTTTGATCTGAGTTTTGATCAGACTGCCCTGAACTCTTTAATCTCTAGAAGTGACAGGAAAGCTGCACACCTGCTCCAAAGGCCGTCAAGGAGTGGGGAATCCAGAGCTGACAGAGCACCGCAAGGCAATGGTGTGAGGAAAATGGACCTCTTTCTTTGTTGTGGTCTATTGAGGCCAGCCTATTGAACTGTATTGCTCTAGTTGGATCCACAGAACTAAATTAAGAATTGATAGTGTACTGTGCGTAGGCACTGATATTTGAATGATGGGTACAACCAGGTTCCACACAGCACAGGCCCGCTTACCCAAGAAGCTGCACCTGGCAGAAATTATAGGAGGATGGGCTACATATGATTCTTTTGGAATCATTACTTACAAATCTTTATATCAAGTGATTTTCTTGCTATTTTTGTATCTTATTAAAAGCAGAATGGAAGATGGATAGAAAAATTTAAATGATAGAAAGTTCTGGTTTCATTATTATCAGGTCACTTGAAGTTTTGTTGGGACTTCGATTGAAGATGACAGCCAGATGTTTTCAAGATTTTCCAAGATTTAGGCCAGATTTACTAAAATAGCTTCACAGGAACTTAGAAATGTTGAAAGTTACTTCTACGGAAAATATAATCTAAGTTTAAAATTTAGTCCATTTCCCGGATAAACTGGGAAATTTATCTGCCTAGTTTACTCAAATATTGGCTTTTAAGATAATCTATCATTTTTAGCAAGAGAAGTAGAACTCTAACTCAGGCGTGACATTTTTCTCTCTGAGTTAAATGGTTTGGGGGACAAAATGGATATCCTCCTTTGCCTAGTTATTCAAGGATAAGTCTTATGATCTGAAAAACGAACAATGTGCTGTTGTATCCACAGTAAAGGGATTAACAGCCTTGTACTTGTAAGAGAGCAGCCTGGCTCCTATTTAGTCCTTTTGATTTCCAGAAAAAAGAGCCCGATTCTTACCATCCCTTGGATGCAGTTGGCCCTGTCTGGTGCCAAGAATGAGAAATGACAGTGGAGCCAATTCTTAGAGAATCACCTGCCATCCTGGGCTCCCCACATTTGAGAAGGCAGTGGACACCTATACCTTTTGAGTGATTTGCTGAAACAAGCCACTTGTGTCTGGGTTAAAGTCATTTCTTGGTAAAAAGTATTGGTCAAAATGATTATTGAAGTAAATTTAAAGAATTCCATCAGACTCATCTATGTTTGTAATCTGAAAACATAGATTTTCTAATTAGCTGTGCTAACGGCATTTCAGTTTATTACATTAAAACAAACTTTAAGAAAACTTATTTAGCTCACTAAGTGCCGGTTGGTTATTAATTTTTCAGTGTGTGCAAACCTTAGAGGAACTTCAGTATGGTCCCATTTGGAAGAATGACCAGGGAAGAAGTCACCCTAGCTGTACACAATCTATAAGTGGAAGGAATTTGTGTCCTTTGGTTGCTAAGTTAACCACTAAAGTCTATAGTCAGTCTCCTGTTACTTCCATTTTTGCACCCACTTTCCTCACATTTACACTTCCTCTTGGCTACCCCTACCTACACTACCTTCAGGACTTTTCGTATACTAGAGTTACCTGTGTTACTATGTTGTCTGAATGTTCTGAGTGGGTAAATAAAGTTTTGTGGAAGTGTGATCTCCTTCCTTTCCTTTTCCGCTTTTAAATTTTTGCAGTCCTGATCCAATTTATGTTCTGTTTGTCCCTCCTAGAATAATGTACACACAGTGAGTAGAAACGAGAGTTCTCCATTCTATAATTCATTCATCCACCCATTCATTTCACAGTCACTGAGTGCCCACATGTCAGGAATACAGGACTCACAGTGCAGGGCAGATTTGGGCCTTGTCCTAGGGCCCAGGGCCCAGAGAAGTCCTGTGTGGCAGATGATAACATCTTTGATAGTCTCCTTGATTTCCCTCAGCTGATTGATTTTAAAGGGATGTTCTTTGCTTGGAGACAATGAAGTTCAAATCTGGGCAGGGATCAGAGACCCTCTGACAAAGACCGTGGACAAGACATAAGAAATTCA